ATACCAATAAACTCTGATGGATACATAAAAACCATCTGTATACCTCTTGTATATAATGTCTCTAGCACGATTTCCGTCAATGGCAAAAAGGTGACATAAATGGCAAACATGGATTGAACAACTAAGGTGAGATGTCTCTGGTCCAGAGCTGGGTATCTTGCAAAGCGTAAGCAGTGATGGTATCCAGGTCACCAAGGTGCAGTATCAGTATGGGAGCCCATAGTGCTCTTAGAACATTTTTTGTAGGAGATAATGCATGAGTACTAGAAAGCTTACCAAGAGCAGCAATGGCGACCCAGTCTGCACTTATGTAGGCAAACCAGAGAATCATTCTACTGATTAGGCCAACACTGTACCTTCTGCGTTGGCCTAAGATGTAGAGGACTATTTGCAAGAACAAGCTCAAGAGAACCATCCCCCTCACATCCCATGCACTCCATATATTCCTCAACAATTTTTTCAATATTAATGTGCTCTCAATTGATGTTACCGTCTTCCCTCTGTTTTTATGTACCCATACCAACAAACATATATGTTAATCATACAACTATTTTACATGAATTAAAATGTTTAGTCGACAGTATATACAATTTAACGGACTTACCTTCCAACCATTGCTTATCATAAGCTTCTGACTTTGGCAGTCTAGCTTCAATATAAACCTAAAATGCCTTAACGAACTTCAATGGTGATTTATATATAAGCTAAAAAATAAAGATCAGACTTTTTTTTTAGTTACACATTCTCATTCTTTGCTTCTAATATGCTTTTTGGTACTAAACCCCTCAATATCTAGTTAAAAGTTACATTAAATCTAGATTAATTCAGAGTTGAATCACATCAAACCTTATAAAAATGAAATTATCTTAATATTAATTTCTCCATTCATAAGACTCTAAATTTGAGATTTGATTTAAGCAAAATCAAGTGCTTTCTATTGGAACCAATAGGTTGTTGGTTTCTAACATGCTAAATAGGGTAGTTTTGTTTCTTTTTATTTTGTTTTTAATCAATGGCACCACATAGATTGGAAAACTATAGAAAGATGCGTTTAAATTAAACAAGACACTTTTATAAAGAAATTTCAACGGGAAATCTGGTTCAGGAAGTTTTAATGCAATTTATGTTACTTTCCTAAAGAATTTGTATCTGGTCTTTGTTTCATATTCTTTGGTCTGTGTCAAGGTTTTTAAAATCGGACCGGTCATTGAACCATTTTTGGATCTGGTTTTTGGTTTGATTGGTTCAACCGGTTCAATCGGTGAACCGATCGGTTCAAATAATAAGGAAAATTTGATGAGAGGGATAGGTAATTGTGTAATTTCATTAAAATTAAAGGTTAAAATCGGTATAAGAAAGGAATGGTGAGGGTGAAATTGGAAAAACTAAAAAGAAAATTGCATGAGAAATTGAACCGGTGATTTTTCTAGTTCTATCGGTTCCATCGGTTTCATTGGTTTTAACCAATTTTAAACAGTTTTGACCAATTTTGAACGGTTTTTGACCGGTTTTGACCTCAAATGGTTTTTTTATGTGAACCAAACCATTTTCATTACTGATACCGGTCCGACCAATTCAACCGGCCGATCCGATCCGGTTTTAAAAACCTTGGTATGTGTAAACATTTGTTCTCGAAAGATCAAGTTACTCTACTCTATGTTTTTTTTTTTTTTTTGTGGGCTTGATGTTGGTCTTTGTTTCAATCAGTTGAAACACTCATGGGGGAGGATAGAGAGGAAGAATAAGGGTTTGAACTTTGAACCTCTATATAAGTGAAGAAGTACCTTTCTATCAATAGTTAGTCAATTACCATACATATCTTTCTTATTGTCCTTATGAATTAGGGTAGTAAAACAAGGAAAGAAAAATAGTAGATTTGTTTTGAATGCTTAAATTTTATTGCTAAAAGATCA